TCTTCATCACAGTACTCCAGCCTTCCCTCACTCGTGAACAATAACGGGCGGATTTTAATCTCTTCCATTTACACTGAAACTGTTGCAGTCTATGAGTCCAACAGACAACATCTTCTTCAAACATAGTCATTCATCATTGACACCAATGAAAGTGCTTTTGTATTTGCTGGCTTGTGTTACGTACATTAAATATAGCAACGCACTGGAGACAAAGTGAATGTATCGATTGTTTGGTTATGATGTTGATTCTAATGATGCGGAGGTGGCATCCTTAATACATAAATATGTGCAACTTTCAGAAAGCAATTCTGTTGTCTGACCTCCCAGTCAAATGGCCTCTTTTCCATTCTCCTGTCTGTGAGTTTTCCGTGATCTTCCTTACTCTCCGTTACATTATGCCCTGATGCACAGATCAAAATTAGACTCATTATGTGCAGAGCTAGTTAATGCTGCATGCTCCAGTGAACAATATGAATGTTACTGGCCTGGGCCTCTTTGTATATTTAGAGATCATTCAGATCTACGTAAGAAGACAGAAGCAGGCTGTTTAAGGTCTGCGGGGCATATCCTATGACTCCGACCTTGTGAAATCTGGAGAGAACCACATAAATGGCTGAATAATGTTATTCAATTGTGTGATTTGTGTGATTAACTACACGACAAGTGGTAATAAATACATATTGGTATAAGCATGTTTGTTACACCTCTGTCACCCCATAATATCATATTTCTTTAAATCTGTTTCCCACTATTTATTTTCTTGTTTGCAGTGTTTAACAAAGAAAATTCCTAGTTTGTGACTTCCTGTTCATTACAATGGCAATACAATTATTTTTACTCGGATTCTAATTTAGATAGACAAGATGCAGAGCCTAATGAATAAAACAAAATAAAAACAAAGCACCACTAGAAATAAGCTTACAAAATAGCTACCAAATACAGCCAAATGAGTTATAAAAACAACTGAAAAATGTTAGTTCTCCACTTTATACATATCTATTTTGGTTTTGAAGAATTTCCTAGAAGCAACATAATTTGTCGGTCCCAATTTGTAAGATCCTATAAAATATCAATCAATCAATCAAATGTATTTATGAAGCACTATTCATACAGTAAGTAAGTAAGTAAGTAAGTAATCTTTATTTATATACCGCCTTTCACAGACCAGAGTCACAAAGCGGTTTACAATGGTTATTTATTGGGCACTTGTCCTCTCACTCCACACAGAGATGGGAGCGGGGTCGCCGAACAGGAGGCGCATGCCAGACCTATTGTACATATTTTTAGTGGTAGGGGAAACCGGAGTACCCGGAGGAAACCTACGCAGACACGGGGAGAACATGCAAACTCCACTCAGAAAGGCCCTTGTCCGGCCGGGATTCGAACCAAGGACCTTCTTGCTGAGAGGCGAGAGTGCTATCCACTCAGCCACCGTGCCGCCCTATTCATACAGTGCAACCCGAAGTGCTTGTAAAGTAAAAACAGACAATAAAATATACAAACAGTGCAAATACTTGAAACATATTGTATAAATAATTTCAACTACATTAAAATATAAAGGCTTAAAAAAGTATTCATGGCCTCAAAATGTCCTGACTTTCCAGAAGCCATAGAGACAGTTCAAATCTAATGCACAGGCTGTCTCCATTTTACATCATGAGTTTAATCCAATAAGGCTCTGAATGTATATGGAGCACTGGAAAATGCAACTCGCTAACATGGTGAATTTGACAATGAGATAAGGGTGCAACGTTTTTTTCACAAAATGTTCTCACTAATAAAAATAGAATTGAAACACATGGAAAACTAACCTCAAACGGTGAAGTCTTGGTCCTGACTTAAACAAAAACGCTCGTAAGTTGTTTACATAAGATATAAGGTAGACATAGTAGCATAGGAAAAATAATTAATGATGCGAAGAATACCAGAATGAATACTTAGTAGAAAGAAGTCTGGACAGCCTCTCCGCATAATAGAATCATTTGCAATTACAAACTGTTAGTTTGTGTGAGACTGTTTAAAACACATGTGTCAAAGTCAAGGCCCGCGGGCCAAATCCGGCCCGCGAATGAATTATCTATGGCCCCCGGGACATTGCCTGCCATTTAGGCAATGTATTGACCCCTTAAGCTCGCTAGCCCCCGTCGGCGGGGGCTAGCGGGGGCCAGCAATCTGTTGGCAATAGCAGATGTATTTTGAACTTCGTAAGCCACAAGCTATATATCATTTTAAAGCTTATTTTCTCAGCTATATTTATATGTAAGTGTAAACAATATCAGACTTTGCATTAAAAAGATATAACGCATAATAAGGGGACAAAATAAATCACGTCTAAAATTTGTTTTTTACCTTTCGTCTTCTGCTGCTCCAACAAATTAGACTTTCCCCATCCTTGCTTAGTCTTTCTCTCCGTAACTGTTTATTGAAGAAGAATATCCACTTGTATTTCCCAAAGTATAATCCATTCTGCAGATTTAATAAAAAAACGCCCCGAAAAGAGGTCCAGACTGCTCTTTTACATTTCACCAAGTTTGAGCTTTTTTTTTTTTTTACTATTTTCATGTTCTCAGATGTCTATTACATCTAATATGTACAGTATGAGGATTGGCTTTAGAGCATATTTTATCAAGCCAACAGGTGTCACCGGCACTGCCTCTGGATGTTGAGAAACATTGAACCAGTCCGGCCCTCGGCGCGTAGCAAACATTTTTTTTGGCCCATGATGTATTTGACTTTGACATGCCTGGTTTAAAAGGACAGTCTCCTCATCCAGTATTAGCCACCGTTTTGCAGATTAACCAATTGAAACATTTCACCACAATAATGACTCCGTCACCAACCACTTGCAGGAAACATAACAACTCTTCCAGTGATCAGAAGGTGTAGCTCTTCTTGGATTCTTGGTCTAAGTTTGGAGGTTAAGTGTTGACATCTCATTGACTGACTGGCTCATATCAAAATGTAGAAGGCCAGTTGGTGTAGACCTCACACAAACTCTATGGTGACTGCTTGATAGGTGTTGTTTTTGTCTTATTTCGTCTGGAAAACCTTCCATTTATTCTGTGTATTATTTCAAGCTATTTTCATCATTAAAGGACACTCTTCTCCCTCCGGTCTGCTCCTCTCCTTAATATTATTTGTTTGTGCGTGTTTGTCTTTCTTCAATTTGCATTTGATGCAAATGCACACTTCCTTTTTTCGTCACAAACAGACCAGCCACTGGAATAAAACTTATATTACTATATTTAGATATCCAATCACCACCTCGCTGTACTGTTGATCAGGTACCTGGAGTGATGTCGGCAGGATATTGTTAAGGATATTGTACTGACACATGACATGTGAGGTCAGGTCGGCAGTGTTCATTAGTCCTCATTGTTTGTTGTACAGTCTGACAGCAGCAGGAAGGAAAGACCTATGAAAACCTATGAAACCTCTCTTTCACACGTCAAGGATGAATAAGTCAGTCAATGAAACTGCTCTCCAGAGCAGCCAGGTCTAAGCAGGAGACAGGTCTACTTTAGTCTCTAAGCCAACTGCATCGGTTTCTCCTCACACCTCATACTTTGTGTCTGAATGCTGATTGAACTGTATGTGAATAGTAAAACATCAACCAAATATTGACTCTGAGTTCAGGCAAGGATGAGGTTTATGAGAGAATAAAAAGGCAAATTAGCTTCTCCGAAAAATGTTGTATGGAAATGAATGCACTCTTTGACATTTATGACCGGGCTGCATTTGGATTCAATCCAATTACATTTGAAGGCACCAACACAGACGCCTCGAGCATAACTTGTTAAAACTGTAACTAATTTAATAAAAAATCCATATTCTGAATAGCCATCCATCCATTTTCTTCCCCTTAATCCATTTCTGGGTCGGAGCTGCACCCAATTCACTGATCCTCCTACAGGTGGTGAGTCCACAGGGGTATGGCTGCACTAGTTTGAGCTGCCTTGATCTTTGAATGGGGGCTCAGGCAAAGTGGGGTTGAGTGTCCTCCCCAAGGACACAACAACAGCAGACATCTGTGGGAGTTGTGAAGTAGGTCTCATGGTGGGCTCACGACCTTCAGGCTCAAAGGCCAATGCTCTACCAACTGAGCCACTGTCATATTCGACAGTGACATATACATTTGGTTTATTTGTGTGATATACAAATTTGGCTTTAATCCTTCACATTTTTCACTAAGAAAGTATTAACATACTCAGAGTACAGTACTCATTCTGGAGCATAGCAGTATCTTCTAAGTACAAGAGAAAATCAAAAAATAAGAATATTGTTCAAAAGTTAACTTATTCTGTAATTCAACTTAAAATATGAAACTAATATATGATATAGCCTCAATATGCACCGTGGCCTATATTAAGCCTTCATGCCTTCAAGCCTTTATACTCTTTATCAATAAAGTCTATCTTATTTTTATGACTGTAATGGCTTACAGAACATTTTTAAATATTGTATTTAGATTTTTTTTTTTTTTACAAGCTTTGTGGTATCTATCAATAATATGTGTGTGTGTGTGTGTGTGTGTGTGTGTGTGTGTGTGTGTGTGTGTGTGTGTGTGTGTGTGTGTGTGTGTGTGTGTGTGTGTGTGTGTGTGTGTGTGTGTGTGTGTGTGTGTGTGTGTGTGTGTGTGTGTGTGTTTTGTGTTCCGTGACAGGGTTTGGAGCCAACAAAGCTCTTGGCTTGTACAACCCCTTTTCAAACTGTATATTTCAAACTGTATTGCTGTATCTGACTTGTTTACTTTTGCATGAACAATTTGATTCCATACCAAGCTTTTGGGTACAAGCTTGCCTGATGCAGAATCACTTTTGTGTGTGAAAAAGCCACTACATATTTGCTCAAAATTATTATTGCTAAATGATATGCCAAACATTCATTCATATTAATATGAAAAAATTGACTGTGGCTTTATGACAGTTGTATTTGTTTGTATCTGTTTCTACACCAGGTACCACCAGGCAAATTATTATTATTTTTGTTTGTATTTCCAGAGAAAGACTACAGCAGCCTGTGTGAGAAGCAGCCGATTGGACGTCTCCTATTCAGACAATTCTGTGAGACTCGGCCGGAGCTCAAGAGATGTGTCAAGTTCCTTGACGCTGTGGTGAGAAGGGACTCTCCATTTATTTATATTTTAAAGAATTAAAGGAGCATTATGTAAAAATCTGGCCAAAAGTGGTACTGCAGTCACAGTCAATATTTTGTAGTCCTCTCACACTCTCCCTGACTCAGGTTGCCAGATACACACCAAATCCAGCAGCAAACATAGGGAATTATTTTATCAGTTGTTTGTCTGTCTCCATTCACTTTGCCATGATAGCCGTGCTAATGTTGATTGAATGTTTTGAATGAATGTTTATTTTTTTTTTTTTTTTTTTGACATTTGAGATGAGAAAAACAAAATAAAAGCAATGTAATTATACATAGACTATGCAAAATAAATAACTAATTGATGTCCAAAATAGGAGTGTGAAGAATGAATGTTGGAACAGTCTCCAAGAGGTGGTAGAGTGGATGATTTTGTTTTTTTTACATGGGTATGGATGAAGATAAGAACTACTCCAGGGGTGTTTTTGAAGAACTTTCTGTGTGTAGCATGTTCTCCTGGAGTCCCCTGCAGCTAATAAATATGTCTGCTCTCCTGCATGGTCTTTGATAGGTGCTATATAAATAGAGATAACTTACATGCTTACACAATAAAATACATTTTAAAAAGCTGCAGATAGTTCATTATTAACAGAGGTAGATGGATAGAGCAGAGACTGAAGCCTTTTTTGTTGTATCTCTGAGTGAAGACCAGACTGAGATTTGATTAAACACTTAGTAAGTCCTTTTCCTTTGGATCCTATTACATCCACGTCTGATCTGCTCCTCCCAAGTCTGAAGTAAACCGTAAACTAATAAGTGCAGGTGAGGGGCAAGCTGAGCAGGGACTGGGGCTGGAGCGTGTCTCCCAACTTGCAACCTACATTTCAAGCACCTATGGTTCTGGAGCTATCACCAAAAAAAATGCATGTTGATACAACAGAATATCTGAAAACATTGATTTCACCCTGATTATTCAATATTCATTAGACAGGGGAATAAAGTGGAAGATAATTGATATATTGGTATTTCTTTTTAAAAAGGACAACAAGGGACACAAAAATGTCCACAAAATGCAACATTTATGAAAGCTGTAGGTTCTCTTGTCAGCTGGTCAGCTTTAAGCTAGTAATACACTATCCAGATATTATTATAGATCTGTGGGAATAGCCCTGGGTTACCTGTTTGCTTTCAGCGAGGGGGTCCTGCACCAAAAACTGGTTTACCAAAATACATGCATGTCAATTAATGGACATAACAGAATTAGTGAACATCCAAATCAGAATTAGAATCAAAATTTGAAATTGCTTTTGTTCTCCGTGCAAACAAGTTATAAAAGTAAAAATAAATCAAATCATGCAACAACAAAAAAATATATATATAGATGAAAGAATCAATTCCATTATTGTTTGATTTAATTCTTTCACAGTTTGTTCACAAAAATCACAATGATGATAATATATATAACATTTCATCTAGTGTCAAAGCAGGATTTCAGTACATTCAAACATTCAGAAGTGAAGTGGTCATCTCTCCTCATTGATCAGCACAATGAGTTAAACAGTTTTCCTCAGATAAAAGCAGCGGCTCCAGACAGACTGCACTGGTCCATTACGCTGCTTCTGCATCCACTCTTTCTCACATTAAAACCACTGCTGCTGTATCAATAGGCTACTTATAAATTATAAAATGCTCCTCTGTAATACAACCTTTTTCCAGGTTTGAAGTGCATATAGAGAGTCTGACACATTTCACAAAAATGTAACTATGTGGTATAATTTCTTATGGGAAGCAATTGGGGTAATAGTAATTACAACGTAAACAAGGACCAAAGCTCAACTTAAACCCATGGGGTCCCTCATTTTATATCCATACTTTCTAAAATCAGACCACAACCTGCTGTCTTTATCTTAGTAGAGAACACAATATCTTTAGTATCAAATGGTCCTCTCTTTGTCTCATTTCTGTGTCAAAAAGCTGATCTAAATATGTGGTAGAGGCCAAAAAATACATTTGAAAACTATAGTTTAGTAAGTTTGTGAGAGTTTGGTTGGTTGCATCAAGCTTTAGGAGTAGAAAGTAGAAATATGTAGCTACAACAACTTTATTTTGTTAAATCAATTTCAGAAATGTAAATTGTCTGTGTTTTGTGTGTGATTTACTTTTGACACCTCCTTGTGTATGCTTTTCAATGCTTTCTTTCTCTACTTTTATTTAATTGTATGTATCACTGTAATACTAATTCAACAACTACAGCTCTCAGTTTGAAGCTTTTCTTTTAGTTTGAAAATTTTATAATACTTTATTCTTAAGACGAACCAATTATTGCTAAGAATGCCAACAGCAATACATGAACCAGCACTGTTTGAGTAATTGGCCCAGCTCCTGGCATGTTTTTAGTCTGTATATCAGTTCATTTGTTGACAATCTCTTCAATAATCGCAAATGATAAATTCACTTGTTATAAATGCTGTGCTTTTCTGATATATTTTTCAGGCAGATTATGAGGTGACTCCAGATGAGAAGAGGAAAGAGTGTGGAGAAGAGGTCATCAACAAATACCAAAACCCAAAGGTGAAAACGCAGATACAAAAAAATATAAAATAAAAGACATTTTTGAAATCGATGCTAAGTGAAGACCTCCAGAAGAATATATATGAATAGAGATACAAAAACTAGTATTAGGTTTTACTGATTTGGATTTTGTAATACGCAATCTTTGTTAAAGCTACCAGGTCGGGCAATTAAGATAATTATTCTGCACTAGTTTTTCAGGTCTTTTTACATACTGAAAGCACATTTTTCAGATTATAAGCACAACACATTTGTTTTTGGGAAACATTTGGTCAAACTTAAGAACTACTCAAAATCAATAGAGATTTTCCAATTCCATGTTGTTTTTTTAACAGAAGAGAAAAACATAATTAGATAATTTATTTGTGTTACTCTGGCCCTGCGGAACCGGAAGAACCAATTAACATCAATTTATTTTTGTATAGCCCTAAATCTCAGAGGGCTTTACAAAGTTGTTGATTTGCGAACAACAGTATTAAACAGTTTGAACACAGTAAATGCAAAGAGCCACTGGTCCATAGTGGGCGGATGACTAATGTCCATAATTGTCCTTAAATGTCCCGTATCCTCACTACATAAAAGCCTTGATTCATTAGATTTGTCTGATATATTGTTTCTTTCCGCGAAGCCTAAAAAAAATACTTTGTGGAACTTGATATATTGTATATATATTATATATATATATATATATATATATTGTAACTCATGACAAAAAACGTCTAAAATCATGTGAGATCAAAATGTTTGTTTTGATCTCATGTTGTTTTCAGTTTTCTGTTTTTTGAGTCTAAACATGTATCTAAACTGTAAGAACCAGATCCGGCCCAAATGCGTCACTTCCACTAATGTTTGGGACGTCCCTGGTGCGTACACATGCACCAATAAGTACAGACATCTTGGAGACCTGCCTCTTTATTAATACACTATATCACTACCTACTGTAAGGCTTTAGTCAAAATGGATAGTCAGGGTACTAGAACTGTCTAGGGTTATATTTATGTATGTGTTTCTGCCTGTAATCTCTAGAACAAAAATACAAAAACAACAATATAAAAAGACATTTTTTAACATGCACTCTTAATAAATTCCCTGAAATGGGTCAATGGTAGCCTGGCCATAGCCATCCGTACACTCTGCTCAATCATAATTTCACAGTGTGTAACCGTCTGGGTCTGGTCCCTGTGTTAGCGAATACAATCGGTCTTATTTCGACCGGCTACTCAGAGAGCGCGGAAGGCGGGTGTTGTAGGTCGGTGCAGGTGACGTCAAGAGTTTGCGCCGAACGGGCAGGTTGTGGCTTGGCAATGGCGAATAAAGTAAATAAAATAAATGCGATAGTAAAGTAATCCGGTCTGGTTCTATCAAGAAAATGAAGCAGGAGCAAGAGGAATGTTTAGCAAATGTAATCGCTGGTCAAGATTGTGGCGCTACTGCCCATGGGCTCCGTTAGCAGCAAAGGAGATGGCTAGGCTAAATGCTAAATGCTAACAACAGACTCGGGCGCATTACATACGTCAAGGTAAACTCAGATCCAATCGTTTCAATCTGCAAAAGGAGTTAACCCCTCCCACCTGTTCACAGAGCTAAATGGAGCAAATCCAGACCTTAGTATGAAATGTAATTTGTACTATGGTGTGGTACAACCAGGCTAGTTCAATGGGTACTTGACAGGTTGTCCTTGTGGCATTGAGGAATGAGCAACCAAAATTATTGTTTAGAATTATTCATTATTCATGAATGAATGAATGAATGAATGAGTGAACAAGTGCGCAGTGAAAGTAGTTGCGAAACTTACATTTTTTAATGAATTTTTATCCCCTCATCCTCCCGGCTTCCCGTTCTAAAGGGCAACCACTTTACCGCGGCTGTTTTTCAATGTTCTTCTCCAAAAGAATTATAAAAAAAACTTAATCTGTCCCCAGCGGGCCGTACAACTGAACACACTACAAGAACGGACCATTTGATTTAGTAAAACCTCTCTACAAACGTCTAAAATTACTAACTCATCCAGGTAGCTTTCTATGCTGTCACGTGACCGGCACGGAAAAACTATAAACAACGACATCACTCCAAGATCCTCCTATTCCATACAATTTCCCTATTGAGACAATAAACTATACCTGTATCTAGAGCTAGAAATAGATTCATGCCAGCTGGGATTTAATTTTGGAAAGAGGACAGCTTTAGTTTTCCCTCAGGAACTTTAATTATTATTTACCTGTTGAGAGTCACTGAACGTGTTCCAACAGGATTCTGAGGTTACAGATTTCACAAATATGTCATCATTGTTTTGTCGGCTCACAACTCTGGGAGGAAAAGGCTTGACACAATAAAATACATTGTTTTCCGATACATAACACAGTAGTCATTTGTTCAAAATTAACCTGTGATTTTACAGTTCAGTTTTATTTTGTTTTGATGACACCAGTTACTTTTTAATTTGTATCTGCTTTTCTATTCTTTAGAGCAGTAGTTGCCAACCTTTTAGTCTGTGTACCCCTGACTGTAGATGGGTCACTAGTACCCCCTGATATTAGTGGGAAAAATGTACTAGTTCTCCATCATTTGTAATAATAAGTTTGTTCATAACTCATACTTTGCATCTGTTTTCATTTTTTTTGTTTACATAGGTATTTCTTTTAACTAAATTATTACTATTCTAAACTTAAGTTTTAGATTTTTCTAAATGAGTAGATGCTTGGACTGACCCAAAACTGGACCAAAAGTTAGAAAGGCTTGTTATTGCAGACAGAACGACCAATTGATAGTTGTATTAATTGTGTTATGAGTTCAATGTTTAGAATAGAATCTATTACTGTATATTGTTGTTCTCCTGTGAAAATTTGCTCTAAAATGATGAATAACTTACTATCAATGTTAAAATTCATTTCAAGTACCCACTGCAATACCCCTGAGTAACCCTAGGTGTCTGTGTACCCCTGGTTTGGAAACACTGCTTTAGAGGACACGTGATGCAAAATTGAGCTTTTTACCATATTACATCATAGTTCTGTTCCTTCATTCAAATAAGTTCTGCCCATTTCTGCAGTCAAATTGTGTTAAATGCTTGTGTGCTTACATTAACGTTTGAACATATGTTTGTGTTGTCCTTTTTATGTTTATTCTGCACACAGACATTTAGTTCTTAAACATTGTACCAAAATATTATTATATTAAAATAATTTCCCTAGTGTAATTTGTTAGACTTACTGTGGTTATTTCTGGTTGATTGAACGTCCATGTTTTTGCATCAGTCAGAGGATTTTGTCTCGGAGCTGGAAGAGTCCATGATGTCCCAGTGTGCAGAGCGACTTCAGGAAAATGCCTCCAAAGAACTGTTCAAAGACTGCACCAGGTGAGAGAACACACACACACACACACACACACACACACACACACACACAGTATGTATCTATAACTAATTCAAAAGTATATTCTGGTAAAAGCATTTTGTAAGGGAATGGAAAATGAAACTGACTAATGTTGATGATAAAAAACACTGTACTGATCTATTCTCTAAGTCCCACAGGCTTCAGATCATGTGGCCACTTAAGACTTTTGTTCTATTCTAATCTCTTTTTGTCTTCCACTTTGATCATAGGAATCATTTGCTAAATCTTTCTGGCTATTTATTTCGATTCAGATTTTTTAAATGTTACACAATTCCTCAGTCGTATCCTCTCCTCTTTATGGATTATGATAATATTATTTCCCCTTTACATTTACCCATTCAAAAGTTGTACTGTACATACGGTGTAATGTAGTTTAGATCATAGTCTACCTCAGTTTTTGTTTATGTCATATAAAATCTTAAAGAAGAGTTTGTAGTGGTGTCACACTGAGAATCCCCTCACCTCTTCTGTCACCTGCACGTAGCGCTGCGCTTTTGTCCTTGTTTGCCATTAATCTAAGTCTTTAAATATTTTTTAGATGTGAATAATAGACATCCTTTTATAGAAAACGCATAAGCACAGATGTTGTGGTGATAACCGATTTGACCTCCTAATGCCCTCAATGTGGATCTGGCCAGAAACCCCTACTGAAGTATGAATTGAAAGAACTGAATTACGTTTTAAAGTTCTTTCATAATTCTCTTTCATCATGATAAAGCAGGCTCGCTCGTCTTATTTTTCAAACCTTGTGTCAGGCAATAAGAAAAAATCCCAAAATCCTGTTTGACACCATTGAAAATCTTTCTGCACATTCAGCTCCTCTTGTGCCTGTGTACTCACATGAGGACTGTAATACATTTTTGTCATTTTTCGTAAACAAAGTTCAAGACATTAGGGCAAACGTGAATCTTCCTCTAACCAGTGTTTGTTCCACTAAGTTGTCCCCGGTGTCATCTTGGTCGTCCTTCTCTCCTGTCAGCTTACAGGATGTGAACACTTTAGTAAATAACATGAAGCCTTCCTCGAGCCCCGCTGACATTGTCCCAACGTCACTATTTTTGAAAATTATCAATACTGTTGGCTCCTGTGTGGTTAAAATAATTAACCTCTCGCTTTCATCTGGCTCAGTCCCCAGCTACTTCAAGCACGCTGTGGTAAACCCAATCCTTAAAAAGCCCAATCTTGACCCTTCAAAACCTAAAAACTACAGGCCCATCTCCAGACTTCCTTTTATCTCAAAAATTCTGGAAAAAAGTAGTGGCATGCCAGCTGACCTCCTTTATGGAACAGCACAATTTGTTTGATTCACTTCAGTCTGGTTTTTGTAAATTACACTCCACTTAAACAGCCCTTATCAAAGTTTCTAGTGATGAGTAATGTAGTAGTAACGATGGCAGCCGATTCCCGACGCTACACAGTTCTAGTACTTCTGGATTTGATTTCTGCCTTTGACACTGTGGATCATAATATACTTATCGACCGGCTTCAAAATGAGATAGGGCTTTCTGGGTCTGTCCTCCAGTGGTTCTCCTCATATGTCCAAGACAGAACTTTTAATGTTGCTTTAAACAATGTACAGATGTGACTAATCTGTCCTGCGGAGTGGCGCAAGGTTCAGTTTTGGGTCCAATTTTGTTTTTATTGTACATTTTGCCACTTGGTAAAATTATTAATTACTTCAAGGATGTATCCTACCATTTCTACGCTGATGACGTCCAGTTGTACTGTTCTTTTAATGATTCTGAGTTCCTGCGCTTGTCATCATTCTTGGAGTGTGTGTCCGCCATTAAAGACTGGCTGGCCACTAACTACTTACAGTTAAATTCCTACAAAACTGAAACTCTTATCTTTGCTCCAGACCATAAGATCCCGCTGATCAAACAGCACCTTGGCTCTCTTGGCTCCTCCGTCAAATCCAGCCTCAGAAATGGGATTGTGTTTGACCAGGCCATGTCTCTGGAGACACACTCCAAACAGCTTGTCCGTAACTGCTTTTATCACCTCAGGAACATTGCAAAAATCTGCAATATGTTATCAAAGAAGGACCTGGAAATAATCATTCATGCTTTTATTTCAACAAGACTTGACTATTGCAACTCTGTCTTTACCTGCTTGAATAAGTCTGCACTCAACCAACTTCAAATTGTTCAAAATTCTGCTGCTAGACTTTTAACAGGTGCCCCTCGAAGGTCCCATATCACTCCTGTTCTGTCTGTTCTTCATTGGCTCCCAGTAAAATTCAGGATTGATTTTAAGATTTTAGTGCTGACCTTCAGAGCCTTAAATGGTCAGGCCCCCCAGTACATCCAGAACCTTTTGAGCCTGTACTCCTCTGGCCGCACTCTCCGGTCCTCTGGCCAGAACCTGCTTGTGGTCCCCAAAACCCATTATAAGACTCGAGGGGACCTGTCTTTTCAGTCTGTTGCCCCCAGACTGTGGATCGCCCTGCCCCTGTCACTACGTCTGGCCGACTCTGTGGACTCTTTTAAAAAGGCTTGAAGACTTATTTATTTAAGAAAGCTTTTAGTTGATTGGGTTCGCACTAATGTCACTTTTACGTACATGTGTGTAAATATATTTTGTATTGTTTCGTCTTTGTCCACTGTCCTGTACAGCACTTTGTGATTTTTATTTGTGAAAAGCGCTTTATAAATAAACTTTACTTACTTACTTACATCACAACCATAAATATCCTTTTTTACCTCCTGTCATCCATATCTTCCCTTTCCCTGTATCATCTGTATGTGTCTAAATCACTACTTTATGTTGGTTTTTTGGCCTCTGATCTGAAGTCTTGAAGATTAGGTTTAAGAGATCTTTTCGTCCCACAGTGGAGATATTTCCGAAGGTCACACAAATCAACAAAAGTGGAATCACGAGAAGATTCACAGGATAAAAATTTGATTATGGTCAATTTATGTTACACAAGGCCCTCAGACAACACACTTTTCAGAAAGGCTGGACAGAAATAGTTAACTCAAGCACTAACAGACACACTTACAGTAAATGATCTGATTTACTTGGAATGCAAATGCAAAATTTCATGTTTTATTGACATGCTGATGTTGCTTTTTGCTCGATTCATATGAGATGATTTTTCTATTTTATTTCAACATGTTTTCTCATGTGTTGTTCCAAGACCTTCTCACACATAGATGGGTTAAGTAGGTTGTAGAAAGCAGACTGTAATCCTTTGTGCTTTTATGTTATGTTATGCCAGATGTATACACAATTATTTGAACAATCCCAGCAGGTACAGTGCCATGAAAAACTATTCACCATGAACGTTTGCGTCTTGTTACGTCCACAACATGAAGATGTCTTATTGTGAAGGCAAAATAAAACAGTACTGTTTGTTTGTATATGAAACATTAAAAAAGTGTGGCTTTGTGGAATCCTCTTGGCTTCAATTACAAATATAGGTATGTTTCTACCGGCAGTGTTTATCTATGACTTACATTTTTGCCCATTCTTTTTTGCAAAACAGTCCAATGCGCTCACAACATTAGATAGAAAGGTTTTAAAAATACATATTTTTTTGATTATCTTGCATCAGTTTCTGGATTGAATTTCTGTCACTCATGACGCTGTGTTTTTTAGGAGGATCCATGACTTCCTGTCTATGGCCCCGTTCGCAGACTTCCTCGACAGTATGTTCTTCAACCGCTTCCTGCAGTGGAAGTGGCTCGAGAGGTCGGTCTGAATTCACGCTTGTACTGTAAACTCAAATACTGTATAACATTACATTTTAAGAAGTTATTTCCTCTGTAAAATCTCCTTTATCCGAATCATGATTGAGTTCCCGAATTATGTCCACCAATATTAAAGGCAACCAATGAGTTTATGTTGAGTTTGGGGCCCCGCCCTGGAGGCAGACCTGGGGTCAACGAGGCTCTGTAAGAGGATGCTGCAAAAACATGGGCTCTGGAACCTAACTTTCTTGAGAGGGTGGGACCTTCTCTGGATGTCATTGTCATTTTTATTTGTATAGCACAACATGGTTTGGATTAAATCACCACCTCCTGGCAGTGCATTTGAAGTCATTACTCTTGTCTCAGTGTGAGGTTGAATCCAGAGTCTTGCGGGATATGAGGCTCTTGAGCAGCTGAATTAAATGGACCTGGATCTCATCAAAGATACTTCAACACAACACGCAGTTTTCAGAAACATACAATAACAATATAATACAAATATCAGTGAATAAACCAAGCAAATGTAAATGAATACTTCCAATAGATATTATTAACATTCGAATACTAAAGTTCAGTAAAAGTAGTATTTTTCTTTTATGCAGGCAACCGGTGACGAAGAGCACATTTCGACAATACCGAGTATTGGGTAAAGGAGGCTTTGGCGAGGTAAGTGCACAGTGGCTGCTTTGTGGGCTGCTGTATAGTAGATTTAATTTTTCCTTGTGGCTAAACTATGACACAAGACTAAACACGACCATTATTGTACATAAATGTAAACAGGAAGAAATAGTCTAAACTAGAGTGAAACCAAGGAGAGATCACTAATGTTTAACCTTTTATAGACATTTTCTCCAACTGAGCATTTTGATTTTTCTGGTGAAATTCTGGTGTATTTCTCGTCCTGCCCGATCTTATTTTAGGTTTAGTTCCAGTGTTGTGCCAACTTTTATGACGTGCGTAAATGAGTGTCCACAAGGACTTATCTGTGTACTTACAATGATTTAGTTCAATTGGTTTGACCTGAGCAGAACAAAGCTCCACTGTTTTATCATGAACAAGGGATACTCACCATAATGAAGCGTGAAAAGATCCATTCACCGATCCATCATAACCTTTCTACTGTGACGGCAAAATCACAAGATCTTCCTTTGAATTCACACAACCTATATGAGCAGGAATAGCATCAAGAAGACTGGGAGCTCCATTATTTCCCGCTTTATGATACGAGTTCTAACTTCAGAGTGTTCAATGTGTTTTGTAAAATTATAAATATTCCTCCGACTCAAGGCTATTGGGCTATTGGGCTTTTTTCTCACATGCAGCTCATGCTTCCTCCATGTACCAGATACATACGGACACGTGTGGAGGCTTCTTCTCATTGGGCCTCATTCACGAACCGTACTTAAGAACAAATTTGTGCGTAAATCCTACTTACGAAGATTTTACAAATCCTACGAATGCTCAGGAGCAGTCGTACGCACATTCAGTGCCGACATGTTCGCACGCTGGTGTTATGAAGTTCAATAAAACTCAACATTACAGTGATATATCCGTCATATTGATGTATGTATTTATTTATTTAATTGTTAATGGTAATTTAGCCCCTTTTTAAATTCATTTTTAAATGAAATGTGCCAACGCTTCATCAAATACATTGGAAATCTTGCCGTGTATTAGTGACCCCACCCAGGGGGCATTTCTTTATCCACGGGCCACAGAACAATGGCATATATACTGCTGCTGCAGGAGGTTGCGGGGTCCGCACTGAGTCTCTGCACTGGTCTGTCCCATGGATCTATACAGGTCTGCACTGGTCTCTCCCATGGATCTATACGGGTCTGCGCTGGTCTCTCCTATGGATCTATACGGGTCTGCACTGGTCTGTCCCATGGATCCACACGGGTCCGCGCTGGTCTCTGCGCAACGGTCTCTCCAGTCAGGTGTCTCCAGTCTATGCGGTCTCTCCAGTCCGCGCTGGTTTCTGTGTGCTGGTCAATCCAGTCTCTCCTCGGGTCTGCATTGGTCTCAGCGCTGGTCCACGCTGGATCTCCTCCCAGGGTCCAAAATATTTTGAGATTAATCTCAAAACATTTTGAGATTCATTTTTGAATTAATACATAATATATTTTTAAATTAAGCTCATAACATTTTGAGATTAAGCTCATCATATTCTTAGATTAATCTCATAATTTTGCTAGTTCGACTTTATTCTCATAATATTTCGACTTTTAAGTCAACATTTTATAACTTTATTCTCAGTCTGGCAAAAGAAGAAAAAAGGGTGACTCTTTTGCTCCGTGTAACTCTTTGCTTTAGGCCTGTTGCTGTTTCCTCTGGCGTCTGCACACGGCCCTGCAGTCCCTTTTATGGGCATTAATGGGCGGTTACCTATGCTAAGTACCTATGCTAATGAAGCACCGGGCACGCGCGCTCTACTTACGAGGAGTTGGCATTCATCAATCTGAGAGAACAGCTGCGAACAATTCAGCGGCTTACGAGCGCGTTGATGAATCCCACGTAGGGTCTTCTTAGAAATCTACTTAAGAACGACTTGAGAAGAAATTTAAGAAGTTTCTCACGAAGTTATTTGTGAATGAGGCCCAATGTCCACATCTGCTTCGGAGCGCTAAAACATATTTTTTCAAGGGAGTCCGTGACAAGAGGCAGTAAAAGTTACACACAGTTACATAAAATTACAGTTTATAAAAAGTTGCACACAGATTACATACGATTACAGATTATAAAAACGGTTCCATGTCAATGAGGACGTCTCAAGCGCTCTCAATCTTGCCTTAAAGCATTCAATGAAATACGTTCATTTCACTTCCAGGAAAAGCCTTTTTTCCCAGTTCTGTACCGGCAAAGGGAACAAAGAGCAAAGAAAGATAATTTGAACCGTAAGAACCAAGCTCTCTCTGTGTGATTAAATAACAGATGTAAGAGGGCAGTGTCCTGACCTCCTGGTGGACAAAGATGCAAAAGCTTATGAAAACTCGTCACAACCCAAACTTTTTTTTAAGGCAAGGAACTAGTTAGTAATTTCACTAGTTTCAGTCTGAACATTTTTTACATTCAAAGCAACTTGACTTCAATTATCCAAATCAGATCATGTCAAATCACGAATGGACATTTGTGTGTTTTTTCCAGTGGGGGCGGGTCCCAGCTCAAAAGTGGCCAAATTGACGTGCGCTGACATGCTTGCAATACCACCCCGGGCCGATGGGGGTGGACCCGGAATAAGAATTAGCCCATGCTTACATATAGCATCTTCTTACCTCTCGAAAACGTCTTTACAGGATGGTCCAAAAGTTGTCTCTTGGCCCAAAGCTCCGTTCCACATGTGTGTCAATGCTGAGGGAGTGAATTTCTTTGGACCAGTCTAGTTTAGTTGCTGTGAATTTTTTAAAACACTCGTTAAAGGAATGGGACTCGCGCCGGGAGAATGGTCATTTGTCCATTTATTGTCAGGTTCTTCCTGTGATGTCACTTCCTGTCTGTATCCAGGTGTGTGCATGTCAGGTGCGGGCCACAGGGAAAATGTACGCCTGCAAGAAATTGGAGAAGAAGAGGATAAAAAAAAGAAAAGGGGAAGCCATGGCTCTGAACGAGAAGCAGATCCTGGAGAAAGTCAACAGTCGATTTGTGGTATGACCAGAATACTTTGAACAATTTGGGCTGTGCAGTTCAGACGCCACAAAGTCAAATTGCTGTAACACAAACCTCCACAAAACAAAAACAACATTCATTCATCTTAAAAAAGTCTTATCACCCCATGGACAGCAACTTTATTGTTTTGCGTGGATGATTCCACTGAGATTATGAATTTTTCCACAGTCTGGTCTTCAAACAAGATTTGTCAAAGATAAAAGCAAAAATAGACAAGAACCTTTTCAGACAAGACTTTTTGCTACTGCCCTTGAAGCAATACCTTTTTGTCCCATTGGAATCATCAACATGTACTTGAATAAAGATCGCATTTATTTTCTGATATTTAAAAACCACCATTATGTCACCCATTGGATAAAGTGAAAATCCACACAATGATGATTTTTTAGTTCTTATTACTCTATTTTTTATTGATTGGATAGACAAATAATCATTAACTGAATTTAAGATTTAAATGCATGTGTTTTTGAATAAGAAAAAATAAAAAGTACTTCAACATTCCTACCCTTATTCTAAGATTTCAGAATCAGAGGGGACAGGAGTGGGGTCAGAGAAGGAGTTATGGGAGATAATTGTAAAGGTATTGAAGAACTTTATACAAATAGGATTCATATTTTTTTGGACTGGATATTTTAATAGGACATGGCTTCTAACCAACTCTCTTCATAACTTGCCAAAATGAAAGATGCCTCCTCGTTCCAGGTGAGTCTAGCGTACGCCTACGAGACCAAAGACGCGCTGTGTCTGGTGCTGACACTGATGAACGGAGGAGACCTGAAGTTTCACATTTATCACATGGGAGAAGCGGGTTTCGACGAGGAGAGAGCCGTTTTCTACACTGCGGAGATCTGCTGCGGGCTCCAGGATCTGCACCATGAGCGGATCGTCTACAGGTCAGAGGCTTTTTCATGTGTAAAACTGAAGAGAACGATGCCAGTCCAATCCAATCCACTTTATTTTTATTGCACAGTTTATAAAAAAGTCTCCAAAGTGCTGCACAGAGACAAAAGTAGCAAATTAAAAATACGCCAGCAAAGTCTGCCAGCTTAATGTGTATGAAAAGTATGAATAAGATATAAAGATACAATAAAAACAATGAAATAAAAAAAAAAACAATAAAAATGCCAATTGTTAAAGTGATAGTCTGTAATTACAAATTTTAAGAATTGTAGTAAATTGACCTCCTGGCCTTAAATGTTGATATAAAATAAGTCATTTTATCAATTCTAATACTACAGGTAAGTCCCGCCTTCCCTTCTCAGCGGCACGGTGGCTGAGTGGATAGCACTCTCGCCTCTCAGCAAGAAGATCCTGGGTTCGAATCCCGGTTGGACCAGGGCCTTTCTGAGTGGAGTTTGTATGTTCTCCCCATGTCTGTGTAGGTTTCCTCCGGGTGCTCCGGTTTCCCCTACCACTAAAAATATGTACAATAGGTCTGGCATGTGCCTCCTGTACTGGCACCCCCACTCCAAAAAATAACAATTGTAAACCGCTTTGAGACTCCGATGTGCAGTGAAAAGGCGGTATATAAATAAAGCTTACTTACTTACTTACTTACTTACTACTTACCTTCTCTTAGCTATAGCTCAGAATCCACAATGCCGTCCACGTTAACCAATCGAGTCATGCCAAGGGCTGTCAATCATCGCGCTGATGCTCGTAGCTGCGCATGCTCAGTCATTTGTTTTCGCGGAACCTCTGAATCAAGCCTCTATTAGGCTCTGGAACTACATGAAAACTGAACAAAGAATTCTGAACATCCGCGCTGTGTTACCCCTTTATATACTGAACCTATATCCATAATCAGATCCTCTGCAGATGTGTCCTATAATGTGCAATTAATGATAATAGCTACTTACGGGTAACCTCTGAAAACCTCCGTGCATGTGTATTAATAATGTACATGTATGATATGTTCTCCCATTAACATTTAAATGTGTTAAGGAAACGTAGGCGTAGACCAATCAGAAAGGAAGGGGGAGGGAGCTTGCGTCGTTTTTTTCAAATCAAGTTCCTCTCTCTCTCTTTCTGACAAACTGCAGACAATCACTTTAATACGTAAGAATAAAATAATAATAATCGAATAATTAAAACATCTTCCACCATCTTCCTCATCAACACATTAGAAGACAAAATTCACAACAGATTTCAATGGGTAAAGTTAAACAAACTGTCAAATAATAATATAATGTAATGTTATTGAATGTGTGACTTTTCCTTTTATAGGGATTTGAAACCGGAGAATATTCTGCTCGACGATCATGGTACGTTTACAAATAAGATGAAAACATTATTTAAAAGCTGAAATTGTGTTACATAGAATTGTTTTATATGAACAAACCAATAACTCTAGTACACATGTCTCCAATGGTTTACAGATTTTAACAATGTAACTGATTTTGTTCATGAGTTTCAATAGAACACTTGCACATGACACTTTTAATGTGTACATAGTTAAAGCATTGTTTCTCAACCTGGGGGACAAGGGCATTGAATTATTGAATTTCTAAAAATCAAAAGTTCTTACATTTGACTTTACATCACACCTGGATTTGACACGCCTCTCAAGATGGCGGAGTGAGGTCTGTTTGCCTAACACTCCCTGTTCATTGATCGAGCAAACCTTTGAAATCAAACCTCTACAAACCTCTGCAAACGGCCAGCAATATATCTAAAGTTGCATATTATCGTTGTCTGCATGTCTGGTACACGTTCAAAGACAAAAAAACGAGGACAGAGCCAAATGGAAGAAGAAATGTCCTCGAGCCAGCTCACGGCGGAGCACCTGGAAGCTACCCTCAATAAGTTTTTTACCAAAGCTCAGGAACAATCGAAAGAACACTTCCAGCGTTTAGAGCACCAGCTCACCACAATACAAGAGACTTTAAACAAGCATGCACAAGATATTGAGAAACAACGTACGGATATTTCCGCCATGCAGACCCGTGTCAACAAAAACGAGGACACCCTTTCTGGATTTGGCGACGCGTTGTCACAATTGGAGAGCAAACTCGTCTCGCTGGAGGACCGCAGCAGACGCGATAACTTGCGTATTGTGAATATCAAAGAAGGCGAGGAAAAGAACAATGCTGTGGCTTACCTCACTGCATCACTTCCAAAGTGGTTCCCTGGGTTAGCGGAGAGTTCACTGGAGTTAATGAGAGCCCATAGGATCGGAACATGGCGACCTTCCTCACCCAAGCCCAGAGTAATGATAGTGAAGTTTCTCCGCTTTTCGGATCGTGATCGTGTTCTCAACGAGTCCAGGAGAAGCACGGTGCGAGTAGCTGGACAGCCTATCCGCTTTGCCCCAGACTTCAGCGACATCACAACCAAGAAAAGGCGCCCCTGCTATGCACTGATGAACAGAGCCCGAACCATGGGATTCGAAGCCTTCCTGCTCTACCCCGCGACGATCAAGTTGACCAACAGCTCCGTAGGTCAGCAGCTTTTTGAAAACCCGGCCGCTGCTGAAAAGTTTCTCTCGGACTACGAAACTTCCAAGTCCAAATAGAGGCCGCTCTGATCGGTAAGGTTCCTTCATTTGACTCTATCATGTTTACATACAAGCGCGATGACGTCACTAGGTCGCGTACAAGCAGTCCTTTCTGTTTTCTTTTTCTTTTTTCTGACTGCAAAAAAATAGGTTTGCTCCTGTAAATCCACGCCCCTTTTTGTATTGGTGTTTTTTGCAAATATTATTTATAAAATATATGCCTGTATGTAGGCAGGCCCGTGTTCAGGTAACACAAGTAAATGTTGATGTGCAAGGGTAGAACTTAGTTCTTCATATATATATTTTTTCTTTTTCTTTGGGGCATGATTCTGAAGGGGTAAAGGTTATGATTTTTCTTTTTTCTCATGTTTATTTCTATTTCATTGCCTGCAGCGTGTGAGTGTGTTTTTGTGTGTGTGTGCGTCTGTATGAGTGAGAGCTTGAGTATGTGCTTGTTTGAATGTTGCGGTGTGGTTGTCTGTTGCGCGTGTCTGGGGCCTAGACTCTCTGACCATACACCCTCTCCATCCATTCATGTTTCTGAAATGATAATAGATGTATAGTTCTGAGAGCAATGCCTCGTCTGAAACCGAGGAGGATGACTTGAGCATGAACTCTCATAATTTAGAAACTATGATCAATTTCTCAGACAGTATAAAATATAAATCACAAAACATGATCGAAATTGACCCAGATAGTAATTTCCTTCCTAATATGAATAATGACTGCTTATATTATACTGATGTTGCATTTGAAAACAAATTTACACAAGATAAAAATATCTCTCTAGTGCATTTTAACAGTAGAAGTTTATATTCTAACTTTGAAGGGATCCGAGACTACTTGAGTCAGTTTAAATCACCGTTTAATATTATAGCTATTTCAGAGACATGGATGGATGTGGACAAAGGTAGCCAATTTGAATGGAAGGGTATGAAATGTTCTGCACAAACCGACAACATAAAAGAGGAGGAGGAGTGGCTTTATATATAGACACAAATATTACTTGTAGCATTGTAGAAAATATGTCTTTAGCAGTGGACCACCTTTTTGAATGCATTACTATTGAATTGGCTCTGCCAAAAAAGAAACACGTTATTGTAAGTTGTGTTTACAGGACACCAGGATCTGACCTGAAGGCTTTCAGGGAATGGATGGAAAAAATATTTAGTAATAAAAATAAAAAATATATCATATGTGGTGACTTTAATATTAATCTATTAAATCCCCTAAAAAATAAACATACAGATGAATTCATAGACACAATGTTTTCCATGGGCTTGTACCCGCTGATCACCAGACCCACTAGAGTCACAACACACAGTGCTACCCTTATTGATAACATTTTTTGCAACATTTTAGACGCCAGTGTTACTAGTGGTTTGCTGGTTAGTGATGTCAGTGACCACCTACCAGTCTTCATGGTTTATGACATCGACTGTAAAATACCTAAACATGTTAAAAGTGACAGCTATCGTAGAATCATATCACAACAATCAATAATAGATCTGAAAATTGATTTGGCCAGTCAGAACTGGGAACCCATTTACCAAATGTCTGATGTAAATACAGCTTACAACTTGTTTCTGGAAATGTTTGCTACACTGTACGACAAATACTGTCCAACCAAAAAGTGCACAACAAGTCGCTACACAAAAACTCCCTGGATATCAAAAGGGCTTGCCAACTCTTGTAAAAAGAAAAATTACCTGTACAGACTATTCCTTAGACACAGAACTATAGAGACTGAACAAAGGTATAAACAATACAAAAACAAATTAACCAGCATATTGAGAGTAAGTAGAACAGAATATTATAATGATTTATTAATTAAAAAGAAGAATGATATTAAAGGAATTTGGAAAGTGTTGAACACCATTATTGGTCGTGGTTCTAGCAGCCCTAGTTATCCAGAGTACTTTGTGGAGAACGATACAATTATAAGGGACAAAACAATGATTGCTGATGGTTTTAATAACTTCTTTGTTAATGTTGGACCAGAACTGGCCAAAAAAATCCCTTCTACCAACGAACAGTCAAAGGGGCTCATTGAAACAAACTTTAACTCCATGTTCCTCACTCCCACAAACGAGAAGGAAGTTCTGAATTTGATCAGAAAATGCAAAAACAAAACATCACAAGACAATAAAAAAAAAAGTTGCCTACCAACAACTTACTGAATTTTTAATATCTAATGACTCATTTGACATGTTTCAGTCTGGCTTTAGACCACACCACAGTACTGAGACCGCTCTAGTCAAGGTAACAAATGATATTCGGCTTAACACTGATGCAGGAAAAGTCTCTGTTTTAGTCATGTTAGATCTGAGTGCCGCTTTCGACACCGTTGACCATGAGATTCTCATGCAGAGACTGGAGGACTGGGTTGGTTTTGCTGGTACCGCCCTAAGCTGGTTTAGGTCCTATCTAGAAGAAAGGAAGTACTGTGTGGAGATTGGAAACTATGTCTCAGATAATATGGCCCTGACCTGCGGAGTGCCACAGGGGTCGATTCTGGGACCTCTCCTGTTCAATATTTACATGCTGCCATTAGGTCAGTTAATTCAAAGTATGAAAGTGTCCTACCACAATTACGCTGATGACACTCAGATCTATGTCTCACTGACTGCAGGAGAGCATGGGCCGGTGGACTCACTCCTTCGCTGTATCCAGCGGATCAGTGAGTGGATGCAATGCAATTTTCTCCAGCTAAATGCGGACAAAACCGAAATGATTGTCTTTGGTCCCGAGAAACAAAGAGAGACCGTCATTTGTCACCTTCAGTCTCTCTCCCTAAGGCCCTTAAATAAGGTCAGAAATCTGGGAGTAATAATGGACTCTGACTTAAACTTCAATAGCCACATTGGATCGGTAACATCAGCAGCTTTTTATCATCTGAAAAATATTGCCAAAATTAAAAATATTGTGTCCAGGGCAGACTTGGAGATTCTTATCCATTCTTTTGTTTCCAGTAGGCTGGATTACTGCAATGGCCTGCTCACAGGTATCTCCAAACATGCAGTAAGACAGTTGCAGTATATTCAAAATGCTGCAGCCCGAGTCCTGACTAGAACCAGGAAGTACGACCACATTAGTCCGGTCCTCAGGTCTCTGCACTGGCTTCCCGTGGCCCAGAGGATAGACTTTAAAGCAGCTCTCCTGGTGTACAAGTCTCTCCATGGCCTTGCACCAAAGTACATCCATGATATGCTAGTCCCATATGAACCAGCCCGGACTCTGAGGAGCGCAGGGACGGGACTCCTGTTAGTGCCCAGAGTCAGGACTAGACAGGGGGAGGCTGCTTTTCAGATCTATGCAGCTAAAGTCTGGAACGGTCTTCCTGAGGATGTGAGACTGGCTGCCTCTCTGTCAATGTTCAAATCCATGTTAAAGACTTTTCTTTTTTCCCGTGCATACAACTAGAGAATTTTATCTTTTTAACACACCTTGTTATTTATTGTTGTAACTTTTTGTGTTTTTAACTATTTTATTGTTTTTAATTACTTGTGTGATTTTTATGTTTTTAAATTACTTATGTGATTTTAATGCTTTTTAATTACATATGTGTTTTTAATTGTATTTTAATGGTGATGATTTGTGCATTGTGTGGTGTGGACTGTGAGGCGCTTTGTGTTGCCCTGTGCAGGAAAAGCGCCCTATAAATAAAGATTGATTGATTGATTGATTGATAAACGACATTGATATGAAAACAGTACGCAGTGTTGCTGAAGAAATTGTTGAACCATTTACACACATTTGTAACTTATCTTTCCAGCTTGGTGACTTTCCATCACAAATGAAAACTGCAAAAGTAATCCCCATATTCAAATCCGGAGACAAACACAGCTTCACCAATTATCGGCCAATCTCCCTTCTGCCTCAGTTTTCCAAAATATTAGAAAAATTATTTGATACAAGACTCCGTGGGTTTATTGAAAGACATAACTTATTGTCTGATAGTCAGTATGGGTTTAGGCAAAATAGATCTACATCACTTGCTCTTATTGACTTAGTTGAGGAGATAACAAATGGAATTGAAAAAAATAAATTTGTAATCGGAATTTTCATTGATCTTCAAAAGGCGTTCGATACCATCGATCATGATATCTTGATTAACAAACTGGAGGCCTATGGTATCAGGGGATTGGCAAATAAATGGTTGCAGAGCTACCTGAGAGAGAGACAGCAGATTGTCCAGATCGACCAACACAAATCGAGTTATAGGAACATAACCTGTGGCGTACCACAAGGTTCAATATTGGGACCCACTTTATTTATATTGTACATTAATGAAATATGCAAAATATCAAAGTTGATGAAATTCATTCTTTTTGCTGATGACACAACTATTATATGTCCAGGTGACGATTTGGAGCAACTTTTGTCTACAGTAACTGTGGAATTGAACAAAGTAAAAACATGGTTCAATAGTAATAAATTATCACTAAATTTAAAAAAGACCAAAATTATGCTCTTTGGCAACCGTAATAGTAATATTCCAGTCAGAATAATAATTGATGATACACCAATTGAGAAAGTCAAACAAAATGCCTTCTTAGGAGTTATAATAGATGAAAAAACCAATTGGAAACCCCACATAAGTTACCTGAGAACAAAGGTTGCTAAATGTGTCGGAATGATGAAGCGAGTGAGTCCGCTACTGAACACAAATGCCCTACTCCTGTTGTATCATTCATTCATTATGTCATATTTATTTTATTGTATTGAAGTTTGGGGAAACTGTTACAAGTCTCACTTACAGCCTTTAGTCACTTTGCAAAAGAAGGCCATTAGGATTGTATCAAATGTTCACTATAGATATCATTCACACCCATTATTTTTAGACTTGGGACAACTCAAACTTCTAGACTTGATTCAATTTAAAACTGCTCAAATAATGTTTAGGGCATCGCAAAACTCCCTCCCACAAAGTTTGCAAACACTATTCCATGATAGAGATGCTCACCATCAGTATCAACTAAGAGGAAACAAACAACTATACTTACCTAAATTTAGAACGACTTTAAAATCAATGTGTATCTCCGTGTGTGGAGTTACTCTGTGGAACAGTCTATCTGATGAAATTAAAACGTGTCCAAACCTGATTCAATTTAAAAGAGTTTATAAAAAAGAAATAATGAAGAAGTACAAGGAGGAAAGAGATTGATGCCCCCAGCACTGAGCAGTTGGAGGAGAGAGGTGTATGGTCAGGGAGGGAGGGTTTGGGCCTGTGTGTGTGAGTGTGTGTGCGTGTGAGTGAGTTGTCTTGTCCCATACCATTGGTGGTAGATGTTGTATTGTTCTTACTGTATGTACTGTACAGTAAACATTTGTATTATGTGTTTTTACCCAGCATGGTATTGTTTCCGTCTTATTGATTGTCCTGTGAGTCTGGGTGAGGGGGGTTGGATTAATATAAGCATTTTGCTTCCTCCAACCCCTTTTCAATCCCTGTACGTGTTTTTGCTTTTGTTTTGTTTTCTGTAAAATTATGTGTGCAGGTTTTGAAATAAATATTTCATTCATTCATTCATTCATTCAAAGATTCTGTTTTATTTATTTATTTATTTATTTAGAGGATAAGCCCCTTGAGATGAATCATCTCGTTTTCGAGGGGGTCCTCAAGATTTCACAAGGACAGATACAGCAAAACAGATGCAAATAAGACAAAAGAAAATCATAAAAAAAACAAAACAAAAAAAAACACAAAACAAATAGTAATAATAAAAAAAATAAAAATAAAAAAGCAACCATAACAAATACACACACAATCACTCACACACACACACACATCGTGACTGTACTGATGTTACACAAAATATGGATAATACCATTAATATTGATGGTAATAACAATAATCGGGAGACAAGACAAGTTTAGGTCTCATAAACTAAGATCAAAACATTGACATGAATACCGGAGATATTGTATCAAAGCAGATTTTAACAGAGGCAGAGAAGTTAGAGAGCGAATAGACAGCGGCAAACAGTTCCAGTCAGACGGAGCTTTAAATTTAAATGCATGTTTTCCAGCTTCTTTATTCACTCTTGGAACTACAAAAAAAGACTGATTTGCATGACGCAAACTGTACGAGGATTGGAAAGGAATCAGATATTGTTTTAAATATTCTGGAAAACTGAGATTAATGCATTTGAAAATAAACAATAGCCAATGTAGCTGACGTCTGGAGGACAGAGAGAGCCATGACAGCTGCTCATACATCAGGCAGTGATGGGTTCTGAACGGACAGCGAAGGATGAACCTGCATAGGCTGTTGTAGGAGACAGTCAGAGGCTGAAGAACAGAGGCAGTAGTATTTTGATAAATTATATCGCAATAATCAAGAATGGGGAGAATCAGTTGAGAAATGATCCTCTTCCTTATTGATAAGCTAAAACAATTAATCGATTGATAAAGTAATTTTAAGCGATAAGAAATTTTGTTTGTAATGTTTTGTATATGAATATTAAAGGACAGAGAAGAATCAAGCCATACGCCGAGATATTTAAAACGATCGACAACTGGAACTGGAGACATATCTGAATACACAAGATTAATTTCATTTTTGGAAACAGGACACACTCTCTTCTGGAACAGTAAAACATTTGTTTTGGATTTGTTTAGAAACAATTTGTTTGATTGTAGCCATAATTGAACTGAATTAAAGTCATTTTGAATAGAGTGTTGGATATCAGCAATATTAGCTTTGGATGAATAGATAACTGTATCATCAGCATAAAGTTGGATCTGACAGTCTGTACATGCAAGGGGAAGGTCATTGATAAATATGGAGAACAGTAGAGGACCAAGAGATGAGCCCTGCGGCACCCCTCTCTCAATAAATGAAAACTCAGAGAAGCTGCCATTAAAAAATACACACTGCTGACGATGATGAAGATAGGAGTTAAACCAGAGGAGTGAGGGCCGATCCAGTCCAATGGAGTGAAGCTTGTCTAAAAGCAAATAATGATCGACCAAATCGAAAGCTTTTGTGAGGTCAATGAATAATGCACCTGTAAGCAAGTTATTATCAAATCCAGAAAATATATCATTCGTGAACTTTAATAATGTAGATGCTGTGGAATAATGTTTCCTGAATCCAGATTGGAATGGAGATAGAAGATTATTGGCAGATAAGTATTCTGATAGTTGACTGAACACTACTTTTTCATAAACTTTTACAATACTATTAATAATTGATATGGGTCTATAGTTATTGATATCACTAATGTCACCACCTTTGTGAAGGTGTTCAACAGGATAATATCAAGACAATTGACTATTATAAGCATTTACTAGTATAAACTATTTTTTTGTACTCATATTAAAGACAAACTTATTTCGTGCTTTTTTTTTGATGACCCTGTAGTATAATTTATACTCATTATTTTTCATAGTATCTAAAGCTAATATGTATCCCCTTGGAATAAACAACACCAGTAAGATTTTCTAGAGCAGAATAGTTAGACTAATGGTCTAACCAAAGCTAAAGCTGTCTATCAAGGATTTAAATTAATTGCGTCCAATCAGGGCGACAGTGGCTCAGTTGGTAGAGCATTGGCCTTTGGGCCTGAAGGTCGTGGGTTCAAGCCCACCATAAGACCTACTTCACGACTCCCACTGATGACTGCTGTCGTTGTGTCCTTGGGCAAGACACTTAACCCCACTTTGCCTGAAGCTCCCACTGAAAGATCTCAGCTCCTGTGGACTCACCACCTGCAGGAGGATCAGTGAGGGGCTGGTGCTAAGTGTACTGGGTGCAGCTCTGACTGCCACCCCCCCGACCCAGAAATGGATTAAGGGGAAGAAAATGGATGGATGGATGGCGTCCAATCAGGAACCTGTGGGGGCGGGTCTGTTACCGACCTTAAATTCAACAGTTACTCAAAACTAAAATGGTTGGGAACCACTGGTCTATTTTATATATTTAATTGTTTGCCCGATCACTGCCTTTTTCTTGATTGTATTTATCAGAAGATCATTGAGTTTTTGTTATACATCCTCTCCTCGTCCAGGTCACATTCGTATCTCGGACTTGGGACTAGCGGTGCACGTTCCTGAAGGAGAGACGATAAAGGGCCGTGTGGGGACAGTCGGATACATGTGTGAGTGTGAATCAATATTCATCAATCTTTATTAAAACTGAAACGGCCACTGAAAGCAGTCTTTTGCATCAGTCTTGATACAAAATAATAATTTCGTATTGATACAGCTGTACCATGAATTCTTGTAAAATAATGTGTATTTCTGACCATTGGACACTACCATTATGTACAGTAAGTATTTTTCAACAACTATATGTAATCATATCTCCCCTTGGCATAACTATGACCAGTAATATTTGATGAAGGAGAATAAGGAGAATAATAACCAATGACGGGGGGCTTCGAGGATCTGAATTCATTGTGACCAATCAGGAAGCTGAAGAGGCGAGCATAGGCGGGTCTAACCAGTGCTGGCCTGGAACAAGCTTCACTTCCTCTTCACAATTTGAAAAGTTACTGATATTCCCTTTAAATCGTGGTTAATTGGAACATCTTGTATAGTGTATGTTTAAATACATTAAACCCCTTCCTACAGTATATGACCTTTCAGACGACATTACTTTATAGTAAATAGTAAAAATAGTATCAATACACAGAAGACCGCGGTAGTCCTTTAAACTTATCACTGCGGTGCACCCAAGCCACTGACTTCCTCTGACTTTAAATAAAAGTTGCTGTCATGTTATACTAGTTATGTCATATGTATAAAAGTTTTTTCTGGATGAAAACAGCTGATTTTGTTTTTGTTTTCTTCTTCTTCCCAAAGTTAAAAGTTGGATTTACCAGCTTTAACTTTCTGTCTCGTCTCTCTTTCCCCAAAGCTCCGGAGGTGATTCAAAACGAGCGGTACACGTTCAGCCCGGACTGGTGGGCTCTGGGCTGCCTGCTGTACGAGATGATCGAGGGGCAATCTCCGTTTCAGCAGCGAAAGAAAAAAATCAAGAGGGAGGAGGTGGAGCGGCTGGTGCAAGAGGTGGAGGAGGATTACTCCGGCAAGTTCTCAGAAGACGCCAAGAACGTCTGCCAACAGGTCGGGTTGATTACTGATGGCTTTTTATACTTCTGACTCCTATTTGATAAAACGCACTGTGATGTGTCTATAATTACGCTGCACTTGCTGAATAGAGTGGTTTTTATTTTAATTTGAGTTCATGCCGACCGTCTAAAAACAAGATTTGCAAATGGGACAAAGTCATTTAGTCCTTTCTCAAAACTGTTGCTTATTTTCTCATTCCAAGGGAGACTTATTTTTTAAGTTTTAAGGCAGTCAGAATGTGCTCAAATTAAGATACATTCAGCCAAGTTTGAGCAATTTCTGTCTTATTTTTCATCATATTTTGCAGTGTATCATTAAGATTTTTAATGCATGCCTTTTTGTCAATTTCCTAGTACTTAATTATTTGTTATTGCACCATATGCCAAAGCAAATGCCTATTTGTGATTTCTTTTTACTTACAATAGCAACAAAATATTCTAATTTATATTAAACATTTTCAGCTCTTGGCCAAAGACCCTTCCAGACGCCTCGGATGTCTCGGGGAGGGAGCTGCAGAAGTCAAATCTCACCCCATTTTTAAGTCCATGAACTTCAAACGCTTGGAGGCCGGGATGCTGGAGGCTCCATTCATCCCAGACGTAAGGACATTAGAACCAAAATAATTATTACTGGCTATTACAACATTTTTTTGAGAATAATTAAATAAACAAAAAAGTAATCCACAGATTATGCCAAAGCAATAATAAGCTAAAAACTATTTTGAACTATAATGAACCATATTTGAACAGGACCTATAGAGTCCCAAGTTTAGGCTTACAAACAAGCAGGATTTATGATTGAAGACCAGATTTTGGGCCATTTTTTGTTGTTATTGAATTTTTTTAAATTTCTCTTATTTGTTAGAATAACTATTAACTTCTATTAATAACTATTACTCCAGGTGGACTAGGTTATACACAGTAGTTGCATATATATTTTTTGTGTCTATTTGCAGCCTCAGGCCATTTACTGTAAAGACGTCTTGGACATTGAACAGTTTTCTACAGTCAAAGGAGTCGAGATCGAAGAAAAAGATGAATCTTTCTATTGTAAAGTGTCCACGGGATGTGTGTCCATCCCCTGGCAGAATGAGGTGAGAGAATCCCAGTCATAATTACAGGACAGACTGATAATGTTTAGGGACATGAAAAATTTAAGTGAGCGTTAAACATGACCAACAGCAGTCGTCTCGACGGACTTTACAACGTTGTCCATTCCTCATCAACAAATCAGAGAAACATGCAATAATAACAAACACATAAATGCAGGACTCGACAATAACGATTGTCACCTTGCCCGGGGCAACTAAAGATTTGGGACGGGCCAGTGCGCTGTTTTAGCAAGTTGCCCGATCCGGCAAGTGATGTATTACTTTAACCCATTCAGGCCGGGAACACATTTCTTCATCTGGAGCCGGGAGCAGACACGTCTGTTTATCTTTTTTTGACTAATTCTCTTCATTGGTAAATTCTCTGGATCAATGAAATGCATCTGGATAAACCAGGAATTAAAATGTTCTGCGGATCCGCGGTTTACAACTTTTTTCCGCTGAAAACGTAATTGATAAATGTGTTACCGCGGGAACTTTCTGTAGTTTGCATTACGTACTCGAATGGGATTTACATCCGCTTCTCTGAGCCCAGGGCAGCTGTGGCCGCTTTGTAACGACAGCTGCATTGACAACACCTCAATTGTACGTGAACGTGCGGACATAACCCTAGACGTGTGGACATAACCATAGCCGTGTGGACATAACCATAGACGTGTGGACATAACCATAGACGTGTGGACATAACCATAGCCGTGTGGACATAACTATAGACGTGTGGACATAGCCATAGCCGTGTGGACATAACTATAGACGTGTGGACATAGCCATAGCCGTGTGGACATAACTATAGACGTGTGGACATAACCATAGACGTGTGGACATAACCATAGACGTGTGGACATAACCATAGACGTGTGGACATAACCATAGACGTACGGACATAACCCTAGACGTGCGGACATAACCATAGACGTGTGGACATAACCATAGACGTACGGACATAACCCTAGACGTGTGGACATAACCCTAGACGTGCGGACATAACCCTAGACGTGTGGACATAACCATAGACGTTCGGACATAACCCTAGACGTGCGGACATAACCATAGACGTGCGGACATAACCCTAGACGTGCAGACATAACCCTAGACGTGCGGACATAACCATAGACGTACGGACATAACTATAGACGTGTGGACATAACCATAGACGTACGGACATAACTATAGACGTGCGGACATAACCATAGACGTACGGACATAACTATAGACGTGTGGACATAACCATAGACGTACGGACATAACTATAGACGTGCGGACATAACCATAGACGTGTGGACATAACCATAGACGTGTGGACGTAACCATAGACGTGTGGACATAACCATAGACGTGTGGACATAACTATAGACGTGTGGACATAACCATAGACGTGCGGACATAACCATAACCGTGTGGACATAACCATAGACGTGCGGACATAACCATAGACGTGCGGACATAACCATAGACGTGTGGACATAACCATAGACGTGTGGACATAACCATAGACGTGTGGACATAACCATAGACGTGTGGACATAACCATAGACGTGTGGACATAACCATAGACGTGTGGACATAACCATAGACGTACGGACATAACCCTAGACGTGTGGACATAACCCTAGACGTGCGGACATAACCCTAGACGTGTGGACATAACCATAGACGTACGGACATAACCCTAGACGTGTGGACATAACCCTAGACGTGCGGACATAACCATAGACGTGCGGACATAACCCTAGACGTGCGGACATAACCCTAGACGTGCGGACATAACCATAGACGTGCGGACATAACTATAGACGTGCGGACATAACCATAGACGTGTGGACATAACCATAGACGTGTGGACATAACCATAGACGTGTGGACATAACCATAGACGTGTGGACATAACTATAGACGTGTGGACATAACCATAGACGTGCGGACATAACTATAGACGTGTGGACATAACCATAGACGTACGGACATAACTATAGACGTGCGGACATAACCATAGACGTGCGGACATAACCATAGACGTGCGGACATAACCATAGACGTGCGGACATAACCCTAGACGTGTGGACATAACCATAGCCGTGTGGACATAACCATAGACGTGTGGACATAAACATAGACGTGTGGACATAACCATAGACGTGTGGACATAACCATAGCCGTGTGGACATAACCATAGACGTGTGGACATAACCATAGACGTGTGGACATAACCATAGACGTGTGGACATAACTATAGACGTGTGGACATAACCATAGACGTGCGGACATAACCATAGCCGTGTGGACATAACCATAGACGTGCGGACATAACCATAGACGTGTGGACATAACCATAGACGTGTGGACATAACCATAGACGTGTGGACATAACAATAGACGTGTGGACATAACCATAGACGTGTGGACATAACCATAGACGTACGGACATAACCCTAGACGTGTGGACATAACCATAGACGTACGGACATAACCCTAGACGTGTGGACATAACTATAGACGTGCGGACATAACCATAGACGTGCGGACATAACCCTAGACGTGCGGACATAACCCTAGACGTGCGGACATAACCCTAGACGTGTGGACATAACCATAGACGTACGGACATAACCCTAGACGTGTGGACATAACTATAGACGTGCGGACATAACCATAGACGTGCGGACATAACCCTAGACGTGCGGACATAACCCTAGACGTGTGGACATAACCATAGACGTGTGGACATAACCATAGACGTGCGGACATAACCCTAGACGTGCGGACATAACCCTAGACGTGCGGACATAACCCTAGACGTGTGGACATAACCATAGACGTACGGACATAACCCTAGACGTGTGGACATAACTATAGACGTGCGGACATAACCATAGACGTGCGGACATAACCCTAGACGTGCGGACATAACCCTAGACGTGCGGACATAACCATAGACGTGCGGACATAACCCTAGACGTGCGGACATAACCCTAGACGTGTGGACATAACCATAGACGTGCGGACATAACCATAGACGTGTGGACATAAACATAGACGTGTGGACATAACCATAGACGTGTGGACATAAACATAGACGTGTGGACATAACCATAGACGTGTGGACATAACCATAGACGTGCGGACATAACCATAGACGTGTGGACATAACTATAGACGTACGGACATAACCATAGACGTGTGGACATAACCATAGCCGTGTGGACATAACCATAGACGTGCGGACATAACCATAGACGTGTGGACATAACCATAGACGTGTGGACATAACCATAGACGTGTGGACATAACCATAGACGTGCGGACATAACCATAGACGTGTGGACATAACCATAGACGTGCGGACATAACCATAGACGTGTGGACATAACCATAGACGTGTGGACATAACCATAGACGTGTGGACATAACCATAGACGTGTGGACATAACCATAGACGTGTGGACATAACCATAGACGTGCGGACATAACCATAGACGTGTGGACATAACCATAGCCGTGCGGACATAACCATAGACGTGCGGACATAACCATAGACGTGAGGACATAACCATAGACGTGTGGACATAACCATAGACGTGTGGACATAACCATAGACGTTCGGACATAACCATAGACGTGTGGACATAACTATAGACGTGTGGACATAACCATAGACGTGTGGACATAACCATAGACGTACGGACATAACCATAGACGTGTGGACATAACCATAGACGTGTGGACATAACCATAGCCGTGTGGACATAAACATAGACGTGCGGACATAACCATAGACGTGTGGACATAACCATAGACGTGTGGACATAACCATAGCCGTGTGGACATAAACATAGACGTGCGGACATAACCATAGACGTGTGGACATAACCATAGACGTACGGACATAACCATAGACGTGTGGACATAACCATAGACGTGTGGACATAACCATAGCCGTGTGGACATAAACATAGACGTGCGGACATAACCATAGAGGTGTGGACATAACCATAGATGTACGGACATAACCATAGACGTGTGGACATAACCCTAGACGTGTGGACATAACCCTAGACGTGTGGACATAACCATAGACGTACGGACATAACCATAGACGTGTGGACATAACCATAGACGTGTGGACATAACCATAGCCGTGTGGACATAAACATAGACGTGCGGACATAACCATAGACGTACGGACATAACCCTAGACGTGTGGACATAACCATAGACGTGCGGACATAACCATAGACGTGTGGACATAACCATAGCCGTGTGGACATAACCATAGACGTGTGGACATAACCATAGATGTACGGACATAACCATAGACGTGTGGACATAACTATAGACGTGTGGACATAACCATAGACGTGTGGACATAACCATAGACGTGCGGACATAACCCTAGACGTGTGGACATAACCATAGACGTGTGGACATAACCATAGCCGTGTGGACATAAACATAGACGTGCGGACATAACCATAGACGTACGGACATAACCCTAGACGTGTGGACATAACCATAGACGTGCGGACATAACCATAGACGTGTGGACATAACCATAGCCGTGTGGACATAACCATAGACGTGTGGACATAACCATAGATGTACGGACATAACCATAGACGTGTGGACATAACTATAGACGTGTGGACATAACCATAGACGTGTGGACATAACCATAGACGTGCGGACATAACCCTAGACGTGTGGACATAACCATAGACGTGTGGACATAACCATAGCCGTGTGGACATAAACATAGACACGCGGACATCAGAAAAATGCGGGAGGGTCTAAACCCTGAGGGAAAAAGTGAGAAACATCAGGGATGAGGGTGCAGCTCTCGGTCCAGGGAGACCAGAAGGGAAGCTTCTCTGTGAACAAATCCAAGAAAAGTTTGATCGTCTCAGCGTTTGAATGATATGTAGCTGGAGTTCACAGCCCACTCTGCCTGATTAAAGCCACAGTGCATAAAATCACCAATCTTAAGTATATAAAGTTGGTTTTATTCATGACAGTGGAGTGCATGTGAAACTGCTTTCATTCATTAAAAAACAACAGCAGAAATATGCAAGTAATGACACTAGCAACTCATGGTTAATTTTTCTTTCTAACCAATGTAAGACCGAACTGTGGTTCTTTGAAGTAATCTCTTGAGGGTTATTCTTAAACACTGTGTTTCTGTTGTAGATGATCGAGACAGAGTGCTTCAAGGAGTTAAACGTCTTCGAACAGGACGGAGCAGTTCCTCCAGATTTAGACTGGAGGGGACAGCCCTCGTCTCCTCCCAAACAAGGGCTGCTGCAGAGGCTCTTCGGACGAACGGTCAGTCTACACAAAAACAAGTTGGCCTTATAAATGTGCTGCTACTCCCAGTAATACATTCTTAGCAAAGATTTTTATTTGCATTATGATTGTGTGGTCCAATGAATGATACAATGCTTGTGCTTCAAAACCTATATAACAGTGGTTCACCAAACATATTGAACCCTGCAAACCTTTTTCATTGAGAACCATCCCATGGCACACCACCAGCTGAAACTGGTACAGGCTTTATTAACTATATAAAGTCATTCTCATCAAAGTGATGAATAAAAAATCAAACAATAGCTAAAATGGTCTTTCTAAACTTCTCTCATTTCCCTTTCCCATATTAATAAAGTGACATTAGGTACATTTCCAAGGCACACTTAGTTGCCACTGCACACTGGTTGAAAAACACTGCTTTATAAGACTGCTTCATGTCTTGAGAGTATGATGTTTACACCCCACCTACTGACTGCATTGTTCATTTCAACTGGACACAAGTTATTAAAACTTATGAGCTCAAAGTTGCAATAATGTATGACTAAAAGCAGCGTAGAAAACCACAGGATTATTTGGAGGAATTTCAGTTCCGAGAAAACCAGGATGAATTAATCAAGTATTAATTAACTTATATCCAACAACAAAGTTACTTTTAAAGGTATATTGTACTGCAGGATATTAATTTAAGTTACTGATCATGCACAATATGTATGAATTAGTTGAAACATAGCTTTTTCTCCTCTGTGTCTATGACTAAGAAGCATTTGCTGGATCTTGGCTAATGAAATAGTCTTTCATTAGACATTAGCATTTAAGTTCCTCAAACATGTTTCTGGGAGTGTGGCTGACACAGTATATATGTTTTCTATGAAGTTATGAGTGTGTGAGTGGTGCATGACATTGAGTCTGTTGTTGATTGAAAGCGATGTCTCCCTCTGCAGGACTGCTGTGGTAACTGCAGCGACAGTGACGATGAACCCACCCGCCTGTAACGCCAATTCTATGTTTGTTTACAACTTTGCACATTTGTATTTCAACTATAGTGGTCAAAATTTATATTTTATTTTTATGTGCCGCCATATTGTTTTATTGTTATTTAAAACAGCGGCTGGTGATAGACTGAGTTTGTTCAGACTTTTCTTCAGGGATTCGCTTGTCTTTGATTGTTTTTCAACTTTCAACTTTTTATTTTATTTTTGGACGATCTCTTTGTCAAAGAAGTGCCTTTACAAGACGGCACTGTGACTAAAGAGGATTTAACTTTCTTCAGGGAATTAAAGCTTGGACACTTCACTGCATCCATTCATATTACCTCCTTGTTCTGTTTTCTCACTCTCTGCGTTTACATGGGAGGCAGAAAAACTGGATAAACTGGCCAAGACAAAAAACAATCAGTCAAAATTTATGTAAGCCCGGATACGTCTGATTTTTTTATTCAAGTATAAGTGGGCAAGAGTGGACAAGCAGCTGCCTTAAGTGCACACGATGAGAAACAGGCACGCTAATAACCGTCACATGCTTATTTTACCTTATCAGCTGTGAATCTGAAAGTCTCCAGAAGCCCATATTTTCACCCAGAAAAGTTACACGTGTATTGTATAATGGATGACTAGTTACTGGGATGAAAATTTAACATATTTGAATTAAAATGTTGACTGAATATTACACTACTCTGAGTTACTTATAGTTTAATCTAACGTTGTAACCCTGAGAGTGTCCAAATGCCATCGGTCTAAGTTTAGTTTCAAATACTATAATGTAAAACAATTCATTTCTTTAAACCATGTAGAAACAAAACAAATGTCTTTGTATATTATGTGTGTGACTTGAGTTTCTTTGATTGTATTTAGTAAAATATTACAGATGTTATTCATTGTAATTAGCTACACTACCGAGCTGCTTAAAAGAAGTACAACACAGTTACTCCCAACACTGCTGTCCCAACACTTTTAGCACAAAGGGAAAGTTACATGCCCTGAGCGATCAGTAGATGTTTTTCTCCATATTAGATAAGGAGTAGTGTGACCGGTTTGGAGGCCAAGCTGAGGTTTTAGCGTTGTCTGCGTTCTCCCCATGTAAACGCAGATCAGATCAGGTTTATTTCACATGACCAAGTGCACTTTCTGAACATATATTAAAATAACTTATTGCTGGACTTTTACATTTCAGAAAAGTGGAAATGTTCCTGAATGAATGCCCCAAGCACTGAAACGGTTCATAATCTTGTAAATAATGTGTTTAAAACTATGAATTTATTTGAATAACATAAGATGGAAAACAGTGTGTTCTGAATTCAAGTAAATGAATATCAATCCCTAAATCATGTTCCACGTTTTAAGTTGAGTGAATTATAATTATAATGCTGTACTATGGAACATTCCAGGCAAAACTACACCTCAGAAACTTAGTATGAAGGTACGACGCTGTTGCACTGTGAAGACTTAACCACTTATTTTATGTTGTATTTTTTATGTTATCAAGACATTTCAATCCATGTAAAACTATCCCTTTTGTGGCTTTGAAGATTCTTCTAATACGACATAAGTGTAAAGAAAACAACACTTTTGTCTTATAAGAACAACCTTCTAAGCCTTAACCATAGAGAAGACATCATGAACTTTTTACATTTATAACTTTTGTGGTATAGTACAACCTCAAAAATGTTAGTCAATCTTATAATTACTTATAAGAATAATTATAATGTTAGTACTTTTTACTTTTTTTGCTTAAGTGACCTACAAAATATTGAGGTTTTAATACATATAAGTCTATTCATTTAAGCCAGTTTGAATACAAACTTTAACAGAGGGAAGAGGGTATTGCTTGATTTTGAAAATAAAAAAGATAATTCTAGTAATTTGAACCATAAACTTTTATGTTGTTACCACCACTGTTCACCCACTGTATTTAAAACCAGATGTCAAAAGTGGAAAAGCCATGAGTTTGTTTTTTTAATAAATTGCTGTGTGTGAATAAAATGTTTGTAATTCTTCTGATTATTCATTCAATATTGTCTTGTTTTTTTTGGTTTTTTCTAATCTTGTGTTTATAGAGTTTGTAACACTGCAACACTCAAGAACTCAGTTGCATGTTCTACCTTCACCACAAGAGGGCATCATTTCACCAGAACACGTTTCAACAGTACAGGGAAAAGCGGGAGGCTGATTGGGTTACTATGGTCAGACAGTAATCATAATAAAGGGATAGATAGGGATTAGATATGGTTTTCTTTTTATGTGGAAAGGAAAATTGACTTAAAAGAAGCAAACAAAACAATAATGCTGCTGCAGAAGTGTTACGCGCCCGGGCGTACGCCTTCTCCCCTTCTAACCTGACTTTCTTTCAGCTCTGCCCTGATTGGCTGGCGGTGCGCTCAAAAGCAGCAGGTGTCCTGATGGCGCTCTCTCTCTTCCTCCAGCCCTCTGACACTCTGGTCCCGGTTATCATACTGACTATCATTCGCACCACACACACCTCAGCCCACCTCTCACTTACAGAACATGCCAACAGTAACACATTCTCATCCAACACTCATATCTACACATAAGGTTATCCTGCTGACGATACTTGCATTGCACGCAGCCACTCACATTACATTTACCCTGATCGCAGAAATATACTATTATTATTCTTTATCAATAAAATGCCAAACATGGCTTTAAAACTGGTCCGTGTCGTTCCCCCTTATTCTTTGTTGCAGCCACAGAGCCGGGCTGTAACAAGAAGAAATAAAACCACAGTTAGTCAAAGATGAATATAATCAAATTAAATAAATACTGTTGCATTTACATAGGGGAAAAAAGCTGGGCAGTTATCTGATTTGAATACATGTACGTCATCTTTAAACGTGCGTTGTGCAACTTCATGTGTGAGAAAAAGTTAATATTGTTGCATATTTTATCTTGGAGTTATATGTTCAATGGCTAATTTTTTTTTTTTTTTATCAGGGCATGCTTCTTTAGTAAACCAGATCAATTGTTTTGTAGGTTTTCTGATGCGGGGGTCCATCAGCAGAGAAATAAATCCAAATACTTAATCCTATTGTCATGGTTTAGGTTTATTTCCTTTTTTCTTTTTATAACCCCTGTGTCTTCTTTAGTTGTACTTCCTGTTGCGTGATTACCTCCATGTGCAGCACCTGTGTCCCTTATGATAATAGATCCAAGCCTGTGTCTCGTAAATGCAATTAAACCCTGGGTAGTCCTTCACTCCTTGCTCCGTCATTGTCATTCCTTGTCTGTTTTAATTCTTAGCCTCGATCCATGTTTGGTTACTTTTTGTGTTTTTTCATGTTTTTTTTTCCGCAGGAATTTATCTTACTATTTCCTAAAACCATTATTTTGGCAGCTCTGCGTTTCGGGTTAATTTCCTTTTTCCACCGTGACACCTCCTACAGACTACTGTGATGTTATGCCAACAACGCAAACAGCAACTTTTTTTTCTCTCATAAAAAGTTGTATAAATCTTTACCAATACAACACATTTATGTCACGTTTATCAAGTTGATTGATTGTTTTAATTAATGAAACTGAGAATGAAATAAATACATTTGAGTAATCGCCTTGGAGACTCTTTCACGAACCAGGTTATCTCTGCTGCATTAAATATGTAAATGAAAAGATCAGGCTGTCTGCAGTCGAGGAGAGTTATTAATGGGATCCGAGACTTTAATATTCGGAGAGACATTGATTGATACAAAGAGGCCTCTCTGTTTCAAAGTCTGACTCACAGAAACATGAATGAAGTGTTTGAGAAAAAAAAGACACTTTATGAACTGTGAAAGACCTGACCTCAGTGACAAGGCACAATCACTGTCCACTCTATAATGAATAAATGCACTTGAATAATCATTTTAAAAACCTCAATCTACCAATTTACATACATCTTTAGTTTCAATGGGTTCAAGAAAATACAATAGCATATCTTATTATATCATATATTAATATCACATCGATGAGCCTTAATGTTTTGCATATTGTGTGCTGTTTTTAGGTAGAGTTTACATTTTCATATGTTGATTGTCTAAAGTACAAGTTTCAAGATATGCAGACACATATAAGGCTGAGCAAAGTTAGACAAATGATCATGACTCAACTTTAAATGCAGTTTCAGTTTGTACCCAGTGAAAAAGTACTGGCTGAGAAATGATGATAAGAAGGACTGGCACAGACGTGTTTAGCCAATTAATTGCGTGGCCAACTTTGCAAACAGTAATCATTAGCGATCTACAAAGTAAAAAACATCAAGTAATTAGTGTTTAATGGATTTGTGATTTGTAGTTTGCTGTTTTTGCTCTCACTGATGTAACATTTTTGACAAACACATTTAAGCCATGTCTCTCTCTCACTTCTCCAAAGAAACTGGCGGCCCAAGTGAGAATCATTCTGCTTTCTGAGAGGATAAAGGAAGGCAAATGGAAGGCAAATCGCTCACAGACTTGAGCCCTAATGTACAGTACAGTAGTGTAATGTCACATTTCAAGCTGAGAGGCTTCATCACAGACTGCTTTAAAATAGGAATGGTGTTCATGTGTGCTGGGAGTTGGGTTTGGTGGAGGGCAGGGGGGAGTGGTTTTGACTCTGCTACTTGGACGCTACTGCCAAGCTAATATGAATCCTGTACTGCACCTTTAACATGTTGATCAAGGCAATTGTAATATAATCTGCCCATTTTGACCTAATGTCCAAGACAAAGATATAATTTTTGATGTCATTGTGATTAAATTAAGTCAAAGACACTTCACATGACATTATTAATTCACTCAGTACACGGTGGTGATATGATAGTACTTTAGCCACAGCTGCCCACACTGACAGAACACACACAAACCAGACTCTCGCACTTTGGAGCTGCAGCACTGTGGCACCGGATGTTCCATGAGGTCTTCCATCACCCTGCTTAGCTTCAGATGTCTGACGGGATCTGGTTTTCATATGCAAGCGCCCAAGTTTGAAAAGGGGTAAGACAACGGCAGTCTTTATTTGGCTCTAAT